GAATTTATTTTTTGCAATCAATTAGTTAGTAATTTGTTATATTCAAGCTGACATAGGCTGTTCATCAAGTGAACATACATCTAATATGTACCACCTTTACCTTGTATGTCTCAAACATTTCACCCAGTCATTTTATCAACATAAAATTTATCTGGAGTAACACGTATTTAATAGTCTCTATCAGAGGAACTCAAAATTGTCTGCTAGCAAGGAGAATCAGGTAGATGTGGAATYATGTAGCTTTTCTTTTTGAGACATTTGTGGCAGCATAACTGATGCTGACTTGTGTTACATTTTAAATAATAATGACTATATCATTATRATTTTTTTAATTTCTAAATGATTTSATACGAATAGGTAAATATGGTGTTTCAAAATCCACTAAAACTCTCCAAGATACTTAATAATTTATGTTAATATATATATATATGACTATACCCTATCTTCGTCGCTTGGCAGAGGAAGGCGCAGGATGAGGCGATGATGGCTGAGAAGAACTAGCACTGTTCACCTGACGAGTTCTCTTGCGCTTTGGTGAAGAGTCAGGTGTTGAAACATTGGACGGGTTGTTAGCTAATCCTTGAAGTTTCATTTTCAGCAGAGCTAGAGAAAAGTAGGGTTCCCAAGTCAACAATTTATAACAGAGATTTGGAGAGAATGTGGAAAAAATTGATCAAATAGAGCTGAAAAGTGTACACATTGTAAAAAGCAGTTTTTAGAGCGGATTTCGTATGAGTGTGGGACACCGTTACCGCATGGTTACCGCACAGTTACCGGACCTGGCCTGCACAATTTTGGTGAACCAATAGGGCACTAGAATTTGGTTACAGTACGATTACGGTCACATTACAGTACCGTCCATTTCCCACTCATACAAAATCCGCTCTAAATGTAAACATAACATTACACAGCTAAAGATACATGTACTCTCTGCTTCTAACCAGGTTAGACTTAGTTAATTGATGCAAAAGGCTACTTAATTAGCATGACATTCATCATCGCCCATCAATCTGCCTAAATGACACATCAAAATCACAAAAAGATCATTCACTATCATAGCTTTTCTGTCTGAAACTCGATCCCACAAGACAATTGCAAGCTAAAATATGCAAATATATTT